CAGCGAAATAGCCATTATGCTAACTGCTGGTTCCCTCCATTTTTCTCTCAGAATTTTGGGCATATACATGTGCCCAGTGTATTTTCAAGCCACTGGATCCAGGACTCAAACCGCAGTTGACCATGTGGGATCCAGCTGGCACCTGGCTGGCCCTTAATTTTTATCGTTAAGAATAGAGTTTTGGGAAACAGGAGATGGTGTAATGGTTACATCACTGGACTCCCATATAGTTGACCACGGTTTGAGTCTTGGATCCAGTGACTTAAAACTCATGCCAGGCACATGTGTATGCGTGCCCAAAAATCCCAAGAGGAGAAGAGAGGAGAAGGGATTGCAGTGTGGCCATCCGACCGGGCGGTGGGGGGTGATTTCTCACTTTCTCTCTCTCAGTCTCTCTGGCGAGTGCACATGCCCTATAACGAAAATCTCTCTCTCTCTCAAAAAAAAAAAAAAAAAAAAAAAAGAAAGAATAGAGTTTTAAAAAGTTTATTTATTTATTTCTTTTGTGACCGAGAGACAGAAAGACAGTCTCCTGACACTGCGATCCGTCCGTGGCCTCAGCCCATCCCAGATCACAGGCAAGGCTGTGCTCAGTGTACTCAGGGGAGATCTCTGCCGGAGCACAGAACCTCCCCATGTGGGTTAGCTCTGCGGACTGTCATGTTTTAGTGCTGCAGCCCCACACAGCCTCTTCATAGACAAGTGGCTTGTGCTAACTTATTGGACTTCAAACTATGCCAGCAAAGTCGTTTTCCTCCTGAATTAACTTCACAATATCAAGTGTTCCAGTTAAGCCTCACAATTCTGTCCTATCTGAGAAGCCAGTGTACTTCAGTAAAATGATTATTTTGAAAGTGAACTTCAGGATGCTAAGAAATCACACAGCACGTTGAGGGTGTGTGCGTGTACACACGTGTGCGTGTACGGTTCAAGCAGAGAGCTCCTGCTGCGGACATGGGCACGTTTCTGCTGTGCCCATCCTCCTAGTAGCAGCCTGTCTTCCCGTGCTTCGCACAGACATCTCGTCCTGCTTTGTCCTCTGGCCATGTGCCCACGCACACATCACTGTGTGGAGTGGGTATGCTGCTGGCCCTCTGCTAGCACCGTAAAGCTTTGAACAGAACCCAGGAGGCCCCGGGGGAGGTGAGGTGGAGGGGGGATAACAAGACAGTGACCAACTTAACTGAGTGCAGAAGCGCCGTGGCCCTGCAGAGAATGCCCCTGCAGGCTGAACCACTTGGGACCTTTCCTGCTCCCCTGGGAGAGGCTGTGCCTGGTGGCCTGGATCTCTGTGGAGTGTGGGGAGACCTTACTCTTCTCATGGGCGCATACCCTGCCCTCAGGAATGGGAAGAGGTGGTACTACTGGCCACGGCAACCCCTCTAGGGTCACGTCAAACCAGCCTACTTCCTGTTCAGCCAAACTCTCAGACTCTGTGTCTCAGCTTTCCAGCCCTTAATCCAGCAGATTGGTGTTTTAGGCCCAAGAGAGTTCATTACCAACAAGGCACAGGTCAGTTCTCTACTTCCTGATTGCTCTGTGATCTTATGCTAATCAGTTCCCCACTCTGAGCTTTGGAGTCCTCTGACCAGAACATTCTAATCCCCCTGCAGCTCTGGGTTTCTACAGTACGGCTGATTCACACAACAGTGTGTAGCGGAAACACCACCCTTGGGCCCACGGGCTCCCTAATTCCAGACATCTGAAGTGGGACTGATTGGAGAGGTCTTCCCTTGTGCGGTGTGGAGAGATGCTGTCTTCTGTTGATTTTTTTTTCATAATAAAGTGGCTAATATGAAGTTATCAGAATGAGACAAGAGTTATACTGTAATATTTCATAGGAAGTAGCAAAAACATTAACAAACAAATGGGCCTCACATGGGGACATTTTTTAGCAGATGAAAAAAGACCCCACATACATACCAACAGCCCCAAGACTGTGGTTTCCCCTGAGAAGTGCATAAAATCCAGATGTGATGGCCAGTTGAGCCTATGGACCCTACTGCCCTACGGTCCACATGCCTGGAGTCTGTGGTTCCTAGGAGGTGAAGATCCCAAATCCTAGTCCTTTGCTTCTGGTGTGCATGCGGAAGCTCGGTTATCCTGCTCCACTGACCTACCCCAGGAACACTGCTCGTCGACGTGTTTGTAAAATTCCTCGAATATAAACTTAAACTATGCCTTCTTTCCGAATACCTTCATTCTAAGATCAGTAAGTTGATCGGTCATCTGTACGTAGCCCCACCTTACTTGTTGGGATTTGTTGCCATGTTACTTCCTTCTAGAGTCTTTCATGGAAACCAGAACACAGCAAGGTACCTTCACTTGTGTAGCGGTAGAGTTCTGGCTCCCCGTGCCAGTCCCTGTCCCTCTGCCACAGTCCACCCCACTCTATTTCATTCCACTGAACTCCACCCCGCCCCACCACACAGGACTGTGCTGGCTCTGAGAGAGGACCCCTATTCCAGGGGGAGCTCGATCTTGGTGACTGAAGTTAAAATGACAATCCATGGTCAGACACAGCTGAAATTAGCAGTGAAATTATGCTTCAGGGACATTATATGTTGAAAGGGATTTCGTTGGCTACCTTTGTCTGCATATTTCTAAAACTCAGCCACTGATTTTGTAGAAAATCATTTCTGAATGCTGCCATGTATATTAAAATGTGAAATGAAGATTTCCTCTCAGAAGTCTACCCTTTTGTTTCCCCCCATTCTTCTAGAAATTGTCTATAGTATCTCTACAGACAATAAGCAAAAATTAGTTATTAAAATATCAGCATGAATTATGGTTGCCTGACTGATCTGAATGAAGAGTGCCATTTGCCTCCTCTCCCACTTCCTGTCTCTTCTCTGTATCTGTCCTGAGTCTAGGTGTCCTCCTGGCCGTGGTCCACGTTTAGACGTTCTGAGCAGCTAAGGCTGCCTTTAGCCCACAGCCTTACTCAGGCAAGTCCAGTTAGCAGGACTTGCTGCTCTGAAGACTGCCTCTCCTTGGTTCCGGATGCCCTATCTTTCTGTAAATATTTCTTTGAGATCTGTTGGGCATGGGATCATTAATAAAACCAACCTTTGATTTGGTGAGCTCCCTCTTTTTTAAAATAGTATTTGTCACTCTGATCCTAATGGAACCAGAAGGTAAGCAACACAGACATTGCAACTCATCTTGCACTTGAGGCCCTCCTAAACCTTCAAGAGGCAGGGGCAGAGGACAGAAGTGACTTCCCCTGCAGCATAGGGGATGGCGGGCCCTTAAACCTCACACCCATCTTCTCTCCTTCACCTCTGCTCTTTCTCAACCTTCATGTGAATTTGTACTTACTGAGGGAACCATGGTGTAGTCACCCATGTAGCAAATGACCAGTGTCCCAGCTGTCCCTCCCATCCTTCTCTGCCACATCACTAGGCCTCAATGCACCTAGGTCCCGTGAGTCTCCAGCTAAATGACTTTGCTCCTGCCCAGACCAGCACCACATCTTGGGGTGCGTCCAGGGCCAACCCTGTGCCTTTTGCTCACCTGTGCGATCGACCCTCTCTGTGTCCTAGCTCACGTTCCACCCCTAATTCCAGACTCCTGCCCTGGGAGCACCTCCTCCTCCCCACTCCAGCTCTGGCTATGACTGGCTCCCGTCTCCTGCTCACACTCACATATATGGATGCGGAGGGCTTTACTGAGCGTTTACAATTGCTGTGTGCATTATGTCCTTTTATGTCTACTTGCCCGAGTTCCTCACCACACTATACATTTCCCAGTACAGAAAGCACGTCCCCCCTGGTAGTCCAGGAACTCTATGATACTAACTGTGATAATGAAAGTAATAAAGTATGGGGATCAGCAGGTGGCATGGTGGTTGAGGCACTGGACACTCCCATGGCTGACCATGGTTCGGGTCCTGAACCTAGTGGCCTGCTTTCTCACTTTCCCTCTCTCTCTGGTCAAATTAAATAATAATAATAATAATAATAATAATGAAGTAGATGATAGCGATGAGTACCCTGGGCTGGGATGACCATTTTATCCATTTTGTTACCGGAGGCGGTTTGGTGGTGTTAAGACTCTGCTGTGGACCCAGGCTCTGGGTATGAATCCTGGCTTTTCACTTATTAGACGTCTAACTCCGGGAGTCTTTGCTAACCTTTCGTGTGCCTTGGTTTGCCTCAGGGATAATAATAGTACCTGTCTAGGATTAAAAGAATTAATGCACAGCAAGTGCTTTGAAGGTCCCTGACACGAGGCTAGCCCTCCAGACGTATGAGCTACCACTGCCATTTTGGAACACTCGCCGTGTGCCAGGCCTCGCACTAAAGGCCGTGTGAAGATTATCTCACGTGATTCACACAACAGTGCTGTGAAGTGGGCACTACGAGTATGCCCGCTTTCCAGGTGAGAAAACGAATCCATAGCTGAAGTACCTATGGTTGTTAATTACAACCTCCCTAGACTGAGTCTCTCTCTCTCTCCCTAGACCATGTGCCTCCTCCTTCCTCATGAAGAAGTGTAAGACCATGACACACCCTTCCAGGAGATCACGTTCTCCAGGGCTGCCAAATAGATCAAGGTCACACTGCTCGTCCCTAGCCGTGAAGGAAGACGTTGCAGTGGCTTAGTCGGATTAGGGGTTGGGCTGCTCCAGGCCTCGGTCACCACCCCCTGGGATGAAGCTGAGCAGTATCCGAGGGACAGCTGTAGTCAGAAACCAATTTTCCATGAGCAGAGTTCCCAGTGCTTAGGACTAAGCGTAATGCTCCACATTTATCAGCTGCCTAGGTTGGTCCCAAATTATTTCAGAGACAAATTTAAACCTCCTTGGAGTGAGGCCAGAGCAAGTTGGGAATAAGGGGTCACTTTAGAGCACACATGGGGGCTAACATGCTAGTCCAAGTGGCCCTGCATTACCTGCCATTTCCTTCTGGCCATGTACTTCTTCATCCGGTCCTTGGAGAGCTTCTTGGCCTCCATGTTCTTGGTATCTTTCATTAGCCATGGATGCTGAAGGCACTGGGTGCAGTCTAGGCGGTTTCTGATGGAGGCAGAGATCAGAGGATTTTTGAGTAGGAGGAGCCCTTAGAGACCACTAGTCAGATAAGAGAGGGAAGCTCACTTGTCCCTGGTCACACAGGGCAAAGCCCAGGGCCTCCTGCTTCCAATTGTCCACCATGATCAAGATCACTGTGCTCTATCTTCTTCCACTCCTAGTCTGGGTTCTACTGAGCAGACCCAGCACAGGTCAGTGTTAAGAAGGCCTAACCACCAAGAAAGCAACTGGAGTCCCATGGGCTGGCAGGGCCAACACGCCTGAGGGTGGCTGGCATGTTCCAGTGTGGGGTCATTCCACTGGTCACACGGGGCCTGTGGAGGCTTAGTCCTTCTACCTCCCTGACTGGAGGGTGGGAGACTGAATCATGAGGATAAAACCTCTGAAAATCAATGAACTTTCATCTTATGTTTTGATTATATGGATGCGGAGGGCTTTACTGAGCGTTTACAATTGCTGTGTGCATTATGTCCTTTTATGTCTACTTGCCCGAGTTCCTCACCACACTATACATTTCCCAGTACAGAAAGCACGTCCCCCCTGGTAGTCCAGGAACTCTATGATACTAACTGTGATAATGAAAGTAATAAAGTATGGGGATCAGCAGGTGGCATGGTGGTTGAGGCACTGGACACTCCCATGGCTGACCATGGTTCGGGTCCTGAACCTAGTGGCCTGCTTTCTCACTTTCCCTCTCTCTCTGGTCAAATTAAATAATAATAATAATAATAATAATAATGAAGTAGATGATAGCGATGAGTACCCTGGGCTGGGATGACCATTTTATCCATTTTGTTACCGGAGGCGGTTTGGTGGTGTTAAGACTCTGCTGTGGACCCAGGCTCTGGGTATGAATCCTGGCTTTTCACTTATTAGACGTCTAACTCCGGGAGTCTTTGCTAACCTTTCGTGTGCCTTGGTTTGCCTCAGGGATAATAATAGTACCTGTCTAGGATTAAAAGAATTAATGCACAGCAAGTGCTTTGAAGGTCCCTGACACGAGGCTAGCCCTCCAGACGTATGAGCTACCACTGCCATTTTGGAACACTCGCCGTGTGCCAGGCCTCGCACTAAAGGCCGTGTGAAGATTATCTCACGTGATTCACACAACAGTGCTGTGAAGTGGGCACTACGAGTATGCCCGCTTTCCAGGTGAGAAAACGAATCCATAGCTGAAGTACCTATGGTTGTTAATTACAACCTCCCTAGACTGAGTCTCTCTCTCTCTCCCTAGACCATGTGCCTCCTCCTTCCTCATGAAGAAGTGTAAGACCATGACACACCCTTCCAGGAGATCACGTTCTCCAGGGCTGCCAAATAGATCAAGGTCACACTGCTCGTCCCTAGCCGTGAAGGAAGACGTTGCAGTGGCTTAGTCGGATTAGGGGTTGGGCTGCTCCAGGCCTCGGTCACCACCCCCTGGGATGAAGCTGAGCAGTATCCGAGGGACAGCTGTAGTCAGAAACCAATTTTCCATGAGCAGAGTTCCCAGTGCTTAGGACTAAGCGTAATGCTCCACATTTATCAGCTGCCTAGGTTGGTCCCAAATTATTTCAGAGACAAATTTAAACCTCCTTGGAGTGAGGCCAGAGCAAGTTGGGAATAAGGGGTCACTTTAGAGCACACATGGGGGCTAACATGCTAGTCCAAGTGGCCCTGCATTACCTGCCATTTCCTTCTGGCCATGTACTTCTTCATCCGGTCCTTGGAGAGCTTCTTGGCCTCCATGTTCTTGGTATCTTTCATTAGCCATGGATGCTGAAGGCACTGGGTGCAGTCTAGGCGGTTTCTGATGGAGGCAGAGATCAGAGGATTTTTGAGTAGGAGGAGCCCTTAGAGACCACTAGTCAGATAAGAGAGGGAAGCTCACTTGTCCCTGGTCACACAGGGCAAAGCCCAGGGCCTCCTGCTTCCAATTGTCCACCATGATCAAGATCACTGTGCTCTATCTTCTTCCACTCCTAGTCTGGGTTCTACTGAGCAGACCCAGCACAGGTCAGTGTTAAGAAGGCCTAACCACCAAGAAAGCAACTGGAGTCCCATGGGCTGGCAGGGCCAACACGCCTGAGGGTGGCTGGCATGTTCCAGTGTGGGGTCATTCCACTGGTCACACGGGGCCTGTGGAGGCTTAGTCCTTCTACCTCCCTGACTGGAGGGTGGGAGACTGAATCATGAGGATAAAACCTCTGAAAATCAATGAACTTTCATCTTATGTTTTGATTGGATATGAAGTTTTCCTGTTACGACTCTAAGAGGTATGTCCTACATATAATCTACAAATTATGGCAATCTTAGAACTACACTGAAACTCACACAGGACCAGCAGTTGGTATAATGGCTGTGTCACTGGACTCCCATGTAGTTGACCGCGGTTCAAGTCCCAGACCTGGTGGCTTAAACTCATGCCGGGCACATATGTGTGCATGCCCAACCCAAAAGGAGAATGGAGGAGAAGGGGTTATGGTGTGGCCATTCCTCCTGGGGGGTGATTTCTCGCTTTCTGTCTCTCTCTGTCTGGTGAGCACATGTGCCCTATAGCAAAAACCTCTCCAAAAAAAAGTAAAAGAAACTCACCCAATCTTCTGAGAGACCTGGGAATCCAGAAATATTTCAAGATTAAAACCTTAATTGTAGTAAGACTAATAAAGCCAATAAAACCAAATACTCAAAGAACCATATCATAGAAAAATACTGGAAAGAAGTATAGCAAAATGTAGTGATCTTTAGATAAGGTGACTATGGATGAATGAAATTTTCTTAAATTCTTAAAATGTTCTATAATTTACATGTATTAGTTTTTTTTTTTTTTTTCCCGAGAGGTTTTTGCTATAGGGCGCGTGCGCTTGCCAGACAGACAGAGAGAGACAGAGAGACAGAAAGCGAGAAATCAACCCACAGAAAGGATGGTC